GGTAGCAGAATACAGTAGAAATGGCCCGACTCTGATAAACAAGGCACATGTCGAGGAAATGTAAACACAGCGGATTTACCCTACACAACACATGTATACATGTATATATATTTGTAAACTGCATTACATTTACAATACATATAAAGCACTGAGAAGTGTATAAACCTCTTTTTTCTATGTATGTCACTTGTGTGAAAACCATGGTTACCACATCAAAAATTACCAAAAAATGCCAAAAAATGCTATTTTTAACCCAAAATTTGACCCCCGCAAGTAGTATTTTTTTTCCTAAGCTCTGTCTGAAATTAAAGATTACCTACCTGGTTGCAGAATTATCTGGGTCGCAGTAAAATTGTAAAACTTTCTTTTTTGCAATTTTGCGTCGTGTGCTGTTGTCAAAATTTTACCTCCTGTAAAGCTAGCTTTTCATGTGTACGCACCCTTTCGTATTATGGCCAAAATTTTAATCTCAAACCAAAGAAATCTTCTTTCTTTTTTACAAATGTGAAGCTCACATAGCCCACTTCATCATGCTTATACCAATTTTAGTACAGTTTAATTTTTATAATTTTTTTAAATATCATTATACAGGGGTTAGCCATTTAACAAAAATATCACCCATGGCCACAACCCTCTACTGTACACTGCTACCTAAAGTTTCAACAGTTATTATATGTTTATATGAAACATAGATATTTTACATGTACAAATGTTTACGGGAATTGTTATGTGTTTGCCTGTAATCCAGGCCTACACTGGTCTCCGTATTACCTGCAAAACAGCCTGATATTTGTTATTGGGAAGACTTTCGTTTATTGAGGCACACTAGTATTTGGTCTAACCGAGATTCACACCTGCATTAGTTAGCCCTGCGAGCAAACCAACTCTTACACCCGGGAACAGTAAGTTGAAATTGTGATTTATCACCAAAAACCCAAAACCCAAAACCCATTCCTTTCCAACTGTACCAGAAAATATAAAAAAGAACTGATCACTTCGATCAGAGACGTAGGCTGTGTGCTCATTTCTCTTTTTATCATCATTTGGGTAAGTTTGTGCTTTAGACAGACCTTGAGTCAGTGACCGATGAGGGTGGAAAGTATAACATAAACACGATATGTTTGTATCTATAAAATTGATACTGTATATATCTATGATCAGCGACAGCATTGATACAACTGAAGTTGTCGGTAACGACTGATCGAAAGTCACATGCCGTTTGATCAGCGGTTGATAGGTCAGATCAAGCATGCGTAGTTTGCAGACTTAAGACGGCTGTCAAAAAGCTGATCGATACGCTTCGACCGATCAAGCCGATCAAGCCGAAAAAGACGAGCACTGACCAGCCGCGAGCCGTACGCTGTTCGAACGCAGGACACACCTCTGACCGAACAGATGCTGGACTATTCCCAAGAAGATAATTGACCGTAATTATAAGTGCAACACATTAAATCTATTTTGTAGGAATCCACATCTTTAGAAAAAGTTCCCAAACCGATGACAACCACATCAAATATGACGAAATACAACAAGGTGACCATGAGCGTTATCTGTCTGTTTGTTTTAGCCAGTATCTTTGGTATAAACAAGTGTAAGTATCAGCGGCGGGTATACATATATTACTTCGTTCTGATGAAATATGTCTTGTTTATTGAAAGCTGGCAGTTCAATTGGTCTCAAACACATGTTAGGAAACTGAGGATATTATGTTTGCTTAAAGGAAAGTTACCATGACAATCAAAGTATGGATTTTTTATGTTTGATTATTTAATTTGAGTGACATAAGCCCTCACAGTTACTAGAAATCAACACCTAGGACTGCATGTCACGTTTCCGTTTTTAGAGTATCCTTTACAGATTTAATGGATTAAAATGTACGGTACTCTAAAGACGGAAACGTGACATGCAGTCCTAGGTGTTGATTTTTAGTAACTGTGAGGGCTAATGTCACTCAAATTAAATAATCAAACATAACAAAATCCATACTTTGATTGTCATGGTAACTTTTAAACCAATTTCATATTCTTATGTTCAAGAATATAGAAAATAATTTGCTATGATCATTAAGTTTTTATTTAATCATTTTAGAAAATGATAACCTACCCATACAATATCTTTCGCAATGCAATTGCTATAATTTCTTATTGATACTGTATATGGTAACATTGAATTATACATTCTTTGTGGGTGATAAAAGTCAAAATCTTAAACAAATTATCAATGTGTTTGTGAGTCAAATGGAATTTATCTTTGAATATATTCCTTAATGACAGCAAACATCAATATAGAATGATATAGAAACTATTTCCAGCTATCAGAGTACAGACCACAAATATGTTAAACAGTTTATTTCGAAATGGACATACTATAATGATTATATTTTATGTCATATGCATATAATGATATTTATGTTGCTCTGAACTCAAATCAAAATGAGGGTACCCACAACCCGTAGTGTTAGAAAATCAGATTATCGTGATAGTGACATTGTTAACATCATGATTTGTTGCTGCCGAGCTTACTATAGAAATACAGCAAAACAAATAGAGTTGTAAGTAATTCCGGTCAGTACTGATCATTTATGTTTTAATTTGTCGCAATTTCACTTTTCCTCTTTTACACAATTCAAATAATACTGTTTTTAAGATTTTAATCCATCAGTTTTCGTGAAAGGGAGTTTAAAAAACTGAGTGTTTAAGAAATTATCACCAAAGTAAATTAATCTATTACTTTTTGCAGATTTCACTCTATCAGTTTTCGTAAAAGAAGATTTTAAAAAACTGAGTTTTCAAGATACTATCAGCGAAATTCGTAAGTAATCTATTTTTTATTTAGTTTTGAAATTTGATAATGGCACAACACCTTTATTCACTTGTAATATATATAATAGAAATACAGTTCTAGGTTATGTCGATATTCTCTCCTTCTTGTTTATTTGTACTTTTGAGTTTCACTGTCCTATATACACACAATAATTTCCTTTCGTGATACTCCTGTAATCATATTGTTATGTCTCTGCTAAACTAACATCGTATTTTCATGTTTATATTAATTGTGACGACTGCTTCATTGACTAAATGTTCTGTAATATCTGAACCTCAGGCATGCTTTTCCTCGCAATAGGAGAATTGTTCAAAGAAGGGTTGCTATTTTGGACTTTTTCGTTGATAAATATACCTTGTAATTTTACAATCAGGCCATCATTAAAAAAATACCTTCACGTTTTTAACCTTTCTTCATAATTTTTAATATGCAAGAACAAGCTGCAAAACATGTCACTGGTCGAAAAAAGCATATACATTTGTAAAACTGTCTACATAAAGGTACTTCTTTGCATTGAATGACAGTTTCTTGGGCCGATTGTACACTTACTTTTGTTATAAAATAAAATGTTTTCGTTTTCGTACACATCATTGTTATTATATAATTTATAAATACATGTATATTTAAGCAGGTACATGTATTTAAGTCTTGCACCGTTCTATGATATTACTTTTCACTGCAGCGACCGGTATGGACAGCTTTCAAGCATGTGTAATAATCTTCAGTTTGCCCTCTTGTAATCAGAAATACCATTACAGTTCACGAAAATGTGGATAAGTAAACATGCAACGAAACATGCAAGTCATGACACATGGTTTGACACATGTAGATGCAATGCAAATTTTACATTTCCATATACGTGTATGCGTAATCTTAAGTTGACGATGCGCGCAAGCAACAAGTCTCCGAAAAAGAAACAATATTGTACACTGCTTCTGAAATCAAGGACGATACCGACCTCAAACGTTCTAACGACCAATCGACGAACCAGAAGCAGTGAGTGACACGCTGAAACAACCGTTCGGTTTGTGGGCGTGTCCTTTTTAACACGTCTTGTTCGCGCCGTGACGATTTTGATTGTAAATGATGATTAGGTTACTATGATGTTTTAACATATAAGCGGTTTTTTTTCTTTTCTAAAAATGTTATATTTTGTGTCTTGATGTACATTGGGTATGATTATAAGTTTTACTAAGTAGTTGTTTTAGAGAAATGAGGCATGAACATTGATGAGAGGGGTTTACAATTTGATACGTGTTTTAGTTTGTCTTTAAATACAAATGTAGAACTCTCTGAAGATTTATCAATGGTAATTATGTTATACATGTACTGTAGCATATCACCAATTGTCTGAAATTGTATTAGTTTAAAACCGTCCATATGTTAAAATGTTAACAAACAGCATGTTGTCGGTTATTTACTATATTACAAAGCTAGCATTTATACAACAATGTACAACCTTTTAATGGTTTGAATGTCTGATGGTATATTAGCATTTTCGCTCAAAAACGTGAACTTAGTTTCGGCAACATTACTTAACACATTTATTCAAGTAATATTTAAAGGGGATCTATTTTTGAAAGTAAACATGACATCAGTATATTCTGTCATGTGTTCAAGAGATATACTTATAACATTTACAAGATACATAATATGGGTGTTAATTGCAGCACCAATTTGTTTTCATGAATAGAGTTATGGCGGTTAGGATATGCAAATTATATAATATGTACAACTGACTCTTGTCAATACTCGATCTCATTGATACTTTACTTCAATTGCTGTAGACGAAAAAAATTAAACAAATTATCCTCATCTGCATAAAGAGTATGGCAACTTCATACTGTCAAAAGAACTCCTTAACCCGATCATTAAACCACATTCCCCGCAATTATTTATAGTCAAACAAATAAAGTTATGTTCTTGTTGTTTTCTACAGTTCTTGATATAACAATTTTGTATATACCTCATACAGCTACATGTGAGTTTCGATAACAATTAGTCACATTAAGTGCTTCAGCTACGATCAGAAACATTCTTAATCAGCAGCAGCAAAAACAATGTATAGGAGAAACCATGGTGTAACCTGTATTTAACACAGTTTCCTGAATCACATGCTATGCTCCGTCATCTCTCTTGTCATATTGGGTAGGACAAAAGAAACATGGAAGATTTTGAAATGACATAAATGGAAATCAAGCCATGATCGCGATTGAAAAGTTCTTCTTCAGAGACGATGAAGGATTCTCCTGTGTAATATCCCTTTTAGAAGCTGATTGATCAACATCCGATACAGTTATGCTAACAAGTACTTGCTAGCAAATAGGTTGTTACTCAGTTACAGAGAGAGACTTAGAATCAATCAGGAAATTAAAGTCGTTATGTTTGTCAGTTAGTTTGGTTTTGAGGTTTTTGTCATGTTGTAGGTAAACGTTGAGAACATGATATGGCCAAGAGAATAAATTATTGTTAATGCTATGTTTATTCTAGCGCACGTGATACCGAAGGTTACTAAAATCCTGGTTGTAGCATACATGCGGAGTGGTTCATCCTTTACTGCCGAGTCATTACAACATGGTCCTGATGTTTCGTTCTACAGCTTTGAACCTCTTTGGAACGTCGTTAAGAGTTCCATAGATGCGATGGACTGCAAAGGTAGTAATTGTAGGTAGGTACACATAATACTATTAATAATACTACTGCTCGTTGATCTCTGGGTCCAAGGGTAGGGTTTTGGCTACTAAGCCTAAACCTACAGTCACGGTCGTTAGACGCACTGCACCTAAACGCTGTTATGGGGAGCCTTCTCGCGATTTGGCCCCTCTGGCTGGCCCATTTACTCCGCCCGAGGCTTTTGGTCTGGCTGGTGTGGAGGCTATGGACGTTGAGGGCGCGGGTATGGCAGAGGACGATGATGTTGTTCATCTTTCTCTTTCTCCTGGTTGCTCCGATATAGACGCTGGTCTTTCCGAGTCGTCTGATGACGGTCCTCAGGAGGGCTTGCCCTCTGAGGAGGATGTCCAGGATGAGGGTGACCCTGAGAATGCTGAGGTTAAGGCCCAGCATGTGTTGTCCGGTATGCGGGGCCTTAGGGCCGACGCTTCCCGGATTCTTCGGGAGGAGGTTTTCCAACCACTTTCGGCGTCATCTGTCACCGAGTCCACCACCCTTTTGGGTTCTTTGGTGGCTCCTCGGGTGTCCGCTCGGTCGGACCGTTCTCTGCTAGAAGACACTATTGTGTCTTCAGCTCTGGCCACCGCTCAGTCTCGGGTTTTAGAGAAGAATTCATCTTCAACCCATAGTCCTGGGTATGCTGGGTTGCAGCTCAGTGTTGGCGATTTGTCGGAGGTGCACGCCACTGACTATGCCACACATGATGGCCTGCTTGCCCCTCAACAGCTAAGCTGGAATCGAGGGAACTTGCAGCCTGGCCCGGTAAATCGGTGGACCAGGTGGTGTTCGGTCCCAAAGAACACCACAAGATGGAGAGACTGTTGCTTCTCTCCATCCAGATTCTGTCTTATATAGACTACCTGCCGGTTTGTCTATATAGGGTATCCGACTTGCCTGAGGGTCGGATTACCGAGACAGAGCAGACCGACATCCAGGACAGAGTGACCTCTGCCCTGAATGGGGCAGCTTTACAGGTGTCATCGCTCGTCAATGTCTTGTTGGCTAGGCGGTTTTCGGTTTTGAAAAACCGCCCAGTCGATGAGCCTTGCAGCTCCAGGTTGTTGACTCCCCTTCTCAGGGTCCACTCTTTTTGGAGGGGCCCTTTCTTCTGTTCAGAAGGATTTGAAGGAGGACTCGGTCGCCTCTGCACTTCTGGTGAAGAGGATTCAGGCTGAGAAGGCCAGTACCTCGCATGGGTCAGCGCCTCCAAGAAGAAGGCTAAAACTTCTGCGCAGCCCAAGTATAAGTAAAAGTCTCCCTTCAAGGGTAACAAATTGAATGGTAAGAAGGGTAAGAACCTTCCTAGGGGTAAGAAGAAGGGTCCCTGAATCTCTTCTTCCCTCCTTGGTCATGTCGGACGACGAGTTTGGCCGGGGGGACTGCAGTCCTCTCGGCTCAAGCTTAGGTCCTTCTCCCGCAGGATTAGGCTTCGGGTCAGCAGACGGTTTTCTTGCCTGGCAAGTTCTCGATCTGCCTCGACCAGATCTTCCTGTGGGGGGTCTCTTTCCGCTTTCCTTCCAGAGTGGAAGGAAATTACGGAAGACGCATGGGCCTTGTCTGTGGTCAAGGAGGGGTTAGGCATTCAGCTAGTGGGGGATCCACCCTTAGCGTCAGAGCCAATCTTTTTTCCTCCACCGGGGGATCCGTGATAGAGGGAATGTGGGTGACTTCAGTAGATCTGAAGGACGCCTACCTCCACATCCCCATCAAGAAGTCGGCACGGAAGTACCTCTGTTTTACTTGCAACGGAAAGGTCTTCCAGTTCCGGGCCATGCCGTTCGGGCTCACGACTGCAACTTTGGTTTTCACCAAGCTGCTGCAGGTGGTCGTGGGATTCCTGCACTCTCGATGAATAGATGTTCACATCTATTTCGACGACTCCCTCATGCTCCACCTAGTGAGAGAGTCTCTGGTCACCCGGTTGGTTCTGAAACTCTTACTCAAGGTCGGCTTCAATCCTTCCAGAGAAAAGTCAGAGGTTTCCCCACTGGGGAACCGTTTCAATATGGTTCAGGGCATCGCCCTTCCACCGATGGAGAATTTCGAGAAGGCCAGGGCTTTTGCTCTGACCTTCATCGGCCGGTCTCAAGTTCAGGTACGTTGGTTGTTTCTCAGTTTTCTGGGATATCTCAACGCCCTGGCCGATGTGGTCTCCTTAGGGAGACTTCACATCAGGCCTCTCCAGATGTTTCTCCTTGCCAACTGGGTCCCTTCTTCAAGGGATTTGGAAGGCTGGCGTCCTCTGAACCAGTGGGTCAAGGAGTTCACACGCTGGTGGACTCATCAGGACAATGTTCTCCGAGGGGTTCCATTGTCCAAGCCGGTTCCTACTATGACCCTGTACACGGATGCATCCATGACAGGGTGGGGAGCTTTCCTCAACGGGCATTGCCGGTCGGGGGAGTGGTCTGGGGAACAGCTCTCGGAGCACAGCAATGTGCTCGAGATGAGGGCTGTTCTGTTGGCTCTGCAGTCTTTTCGGGAGATCCTGCATTCCAAGGTGGTTTGTGAGGCTACGGACAACACTACAGTTGTCGCGTATCTGGAGAGACAGGGGGGAACAAGGTCTCACACCCTGTGTGCCCTCGCTGTCAGGAAATACAGTTGACAATTTGCGTCAAGCATCTACCAGGCAGGTTGAATATTCTGGCGGATTCTCTTTCCAGGTCCGCCAGCCGGTGTTGACAGAGTGGCAACTGAATCCCATGACTTTCGAGAGAATTTGTCAGGTGTGGTACAGGCCTCACATATACCTGTTCGCCACTTCACTGAACAATCAGTTGCCAACGTTTGTCTCTCCAGTTCCAGATCCAAGGGCATGGGCCATTGACGCTCTGTCTCTGGATTGGGAGGGAATACATGCATATGCATTCCCGCCCTTCAACCTGGTGGGCAGGGTGCTGCAGACGTTTCGGGGGCATCAGTGTTCCCTCCTCCTGATAGCGCCCCTGTGGCCGAGGCAGCCTTGGTTTCCGGAGCTTTTGTCGCTTCTGGTGGAAGAGCCCCTGGCCTTCCTCTCAGAGCGAACCCCCTTCGCAAGCCTCGGTCCAGGACGATGCACTCTCGATCTCGTCTGTTTTTGCCCATTAAGCAGGGTCAGCAGGATATTTCCTCTCAGTCAGTGTCTAGATGGATCTGTCAGGTCATCAAGTACGGTTACGATCACTCAGATGACCAGGTTTGGGCGTTGTAAAAGGTGAGAGCTCATGAGATCAGGGTCCTTTGTGCGTCATGGGCCCTCCTCAATGGGTCCCCCTTTCAGGAGGTCATGTCCGCGGCTTTCTGGCGCGGACAGACTACCTTCACGGATTCTTATCTCCGGTCCTTGACTCCTCATTCTGATGGATTGTATACCCTTGGACCGGTGGTGGTTGCACAGTCTGTGGCTGTTCCTCCAAAGTAATTCAGTGATTTTAAATAGTATGCTATCAGGCACCACGGTGGTACACCTGCTCGTTTCACGGGAAGGTTTTCCATTTTTTAATTACGTTCGGGGCTTTATTAGGGGGGTTCCTTGAACCTTTTCCCTACCTTGAGCATGTCTCGAGTTTGTTCCGTCAGCCTGGTCTGCCTGAATTCGAAGCCTCCACTACGGTAAGACGAATTTACTGAAATGAAATTGAGGTTTTTGAAGTAAAACCAATTTTCATGATGTAATACTTACCATAACTTTATGGAGTCCCACCCTGTATTCCTCCCCTTGCCTCCTCATCCCGGCTGCCTTTAGCCTCCATGAAAGGGGTTTGAGGAAGGGAGATCACTCCGTGGCTCTGTCATCGAGATATGGGTTACGTCGCGGTAGGGAGGTAGGGATATTTGAATCTTTTGTTTTTGGGCTACAAAGATGGGTGTAGGTATTGTATATGCATACTAAAGTTATGGTAAGTATTACATCATGAAAATTGGTTTTACTTCAAAAACCTCAAGTATATTCAGTTTCAAGTGTAATTGACTAAATAACCATTGTTGAGGTCTTTATCATTGTCACTCGATAACGGCAGTCATTCTCGTGCGCGTAGTGATTCATACACCGTGTACATATGTGTAACAGTTACGTCAACAACCCGGGGATTTCCATTGCTATTTTCGGAAGTAAACAGAAGTACTAGGGATACCAGATTTTTACAACTCATTAGTGTATTCATGCAAAAGATACATTGTTGAAATGTATACATACATTGTTGGAATGACAACGATTTAATTTATAATAGTTTACGAGTGCGAGTGAAATATTGTACGAGTGCATCCGGTTACGCAACTTTGCAAGTTGTGCTAAAAAGAGACGCATAGAGCCACTTTGAAGTAAGAATTATCGCTAATGAGTTATGATTACATGTTTAAGAGCAAACATACAAACCAATGTGATATTTATGTTGATGATATGCAGCTGATTCCGTTCGTATAAGACCTAGTTTGGTCGTAACATGTCACTGTGGCATTCGAAGCATGGCGCGAAGCGTAACCGTATCACACATCGGGCTGGAATGGAGTGCTTGTAATTCTCCCGCGGAATATTTTTCGGTAAAAACACCGCGTTTTTTTAAATATTAAAGAACAAGACTAAATAAGAATTAAACGTTTTAAAACAAATATCTTACACTTTTGTTAGACATGTAATCTATTTCATGTGTCATTGGCATGCTCAGACCTGTCTAGATACTGCACATACATTCATGTAAAAACCTTAGTTTAGGATTGACATTTATAATTTCTTCAAATGTGATCTTTATCACGAGCTTTATGAACCGTTTCCCACATTATAATTTAGAAAATGAAATTTGAATACTGTATAGCGCTTTAAATTCGCGGGGTTAATAATTCGCGGTTTCGTATTCAGTACATATTCGCGGGGTTGGATTTCGCTGTCCACCCGAATCCTATGTGTGTCGTGCAAAGTATTGTGCGTGTCATCATTTTAGGGTTAAAACCTTGAAATACAGGTAAACCGTTTGAAAACACTGATTCGGGGTCATCCGTCAGTGACTTCACTCGAAAGAAAATCAAATGTGTACGTAACTTTCTAGGTGTAAACTGTAATCAATTAATCACCTACTGTGTACACATAAATATGTTATGGCCGCTTCTATGTAAGTGTTATTTTTACATGGACTGCCCGGTTGTCCGGTTATAAATCTGATTTTAGTTCATTTAAGCTTGCATAGCAGCGTTGGGTTATAAGTATTTTCAACACGTTGAGATAAGGTCCGTAAAAGTAACATTTTCGATAATTTCGCTCGTGTTTGGAATTCGCGGATATAAGTCAAAGCGCGAATAAAGCGAAATTTAAACCCCCGCGAAATATGACTATTTCCCGAGGCGAAGCCGAGGGAAATAGTCCTGGACGAGGGGGAACATAAACTTGCTATATCCCGAAATACCCATACTTCAACTGTTTTATTATACCGATACAAACACTCCCTTTAAATATTCTAAATATTATCAGACAACAAATTGTCAACAGTTGAGACACTTTATTAACAAAACTGAAATTTTCCGATTGCGCCGATTGGTCAATATTCGGTCAGGCCCCGCCCGCGACGTCACTCAATTTCCCGCATTTTCCGAGGGAAATAGTTTCAAAACTATCCCACCCCTCCAGACGAACTATTTCCCTGGCATGCAGTTAGAGGGGAAATAGCTTGGTCACTTTTGTATAGTATAAAATAAGTAGAGGTATAATAATATTTTATGAGTTACGATACATGAACACAACGCTAGCTGCTTAGTTGTTAGTTAATTTGGAAAAATAAGCGAATGCATAACAATGTGCAAATTCAAGTTACTCGAGACTAATTGCATGCTAAACTGTAATTGAATGTTGATATCGTCAATCGTTATATATCAAACTGTTAAGATATTGAATATTTCTAACTAGTCTTATGCAACATCCATTAATAAAAGAACATATGTTCTGGATAAATTACTTTACAAACTTCTGAACAAGTCGAACGCAGGTATACATTTTATATATTTAAAACAAATATATCGTTTGGTAACTGAAGTAAGATATACAAAATATACAGCATATTTCGTTTATACAATTTATGTAAGTGTTAAACTATGTGAGTCCAGAACAACATAACTTGCTTTATTTTCCGTGTTTGTAGCGTGGTGAACCGGACGGATGAATTGTCTCAGACGACTGCTTCAATAATCAAGAACATATTTGAATGCAAGATGTCAGCCCTTCCCGATGAGGCGTTATATGCATTTTCTTTTTTCAGGCAACTTCGTGATCATGAGAGATTAAAAAACTGTTTCCCAAAGCCCGAGGAGTTTAAACAGATAACGAACAATGCAAGGTTAAGTAGCATGATGGAACGAAAATCACAATGTCTTTCTTTTCTGGAATCCAGATGTCGAAATTCAACAGTTCGTGTTATCAAGACAATTCGAATGTCGTTACATTTGTGTAAGGACCTATCAAAGACAATAGAAAATATGAAGATACTTCACTTAGTACGTGACCCGCGAGCTTCGGTCTACTCACGCAGAAACCTTGGTCTTGATTTCAGTAATTCATCAGTTAAGATATTATGCAATAGGATGTCACATGATATTGATGAAGGTCAGCTGATAGGGTCTTATTTTCCCGGTCGGTTTTATTCACTTAGATATGAATGCCTAGCACGAAATCCGGAAACAGTTTTAAAAAAAATGTACAACGACATGTCTTTAGAATACGATTCAGAGACTGAGAAATGGATGCAGCTATATATGAAATCTCAGGATCGCGGCCAAAACGGTTACCAAGTCTTCCAATCTAATTCTTCCAGTCGATCTACCAATTGGCGCTTGAGAATTCCCTATATAGACACTCAGAACATCGATTCACTGTGCAAGGATGTGTATACAAATATAGGAGCGCGTTCATTCAATTCTGCGATGGAACTTGAAAATCTAGGAATGAGTGATATGTATGTTACTCCCTATACCGAACGATATTGTAAATAAATAGGAATTTAGATGAAATGCACCTATTCAAAAATATATGATGTTGGTATATTATAATGTGTTAGAACAATATTTTTGTATTTCAATGCTTGCGTAGAGATCTCATTTTGCTTCAGCTTCTATGCAATGGAAATGTTCTTCGTGCAATACGTTAAATTACTCCCCATCATGTTCTATTCATATTTATTACATTTTTGCTCGTGAACAATATCAAAATATTAGCCACACTCGTGAAATATATTTGTCATTACTGAAGACACCATTAACTATCCTCTATATATTAGCTTGGTAACAGCTGATCACATAAAGACATAAATGGCTATAGTCACTATGTCCTAGCTTCCAGACTAAGCCCTTTAATGGGGGCCATTCTGTCTGTGATGAAGGGATAAGCCCGACAGCTTGGACACCGTGTTCCCTGTACGATCTTTGTGATAGACAAATAACAACACGTAATTGTTCATTTATCAAATTATACAAATTCTTATTGTCTCATACGGGAGAGTTGCATGTACTTAGATTTCTAAGTAATAACACTCATTTATTTATCACAGCATATGCTATTATATATATGTACACGTTTCTAAAGTTATAATATCATCATGACTTACGACATAGGGTCACACCGTCATCCTTACAATCCTCAACTAAGTATCGAAGTATATGAAAGTCGTATTGAAATTAGTGTTTTATTGCATGGCAGCAACACTGGTAAATAACATAAACAGGAAGATAAGTTATAAGACTAGTAGGCAACAGAACAGAAACGACCGATGAAATGTATTTGTTGAATGAATTAAAAAGTAAAAAGTACACATTCCTTGTTCTTACCTCCATTTATTACTGAAACGTTCGTTCCATCCGTGTGAAGACATCTACTTAGATCCGAAATCAAATGAAACATTTCACATGTGTCGTATGCATTTACACAAAACTCTTCACAAATCTATACAAATAATCACCGATTTTGTCGATAAGCACAGATTGGTATGCATACTGACATGGAAATGTAAGAACTTGGTCAATATTAATCCAAATGTGTCGTATAAACTTTGGTAACAGGACGTTCTCGAACAATCCAAATATTCCGCCTCGTCAACATACAGATCGAGCGCTCGCCAGTATGGGCGGGGCCAAATGACCGACTTTTGAAAGCGTCTTTCCGATTGGTCAGTCCGCTGCAGAATGACACGTCGCCAGTTCAGGTCACAAAGTATTTTAATGTGTACTTTTTGTACAAGGAAATACAATGTTTCTAAACATATTAGCGTAGTATATTTGTTCAAGTGTGTTAGAATGGGGATAGTACGTTGTTTTTCGTGTCTATACTGGCGATTAGAACATGAAATTTGGTTTAAACTCTCGACCTATCGGTCTCGAGTTCAAACCCAAATTTCATGTTCTAATCGCCAGTATAGCCACTCAAAACAACGTACTATCCCCTAAATAAAATATACATTGTAATACTCTGTATTGCACATGCTACACACTCCGGCTACTTCCTCTGATCAGATTGTCTATGTAAACGCCCATTCCTAATAATATTGCTTTGTTGTGTATTCAAGCTCCTTTTAGGTATCGTTTCATTGTGCCAGGCAGAAAAGAAATTGACATTTTTGTTTGGTATAGTTCATATTACAAAAATCACTTATGGTATAGTGGTTCAGAAAAGATAGTGAGAGGGTTGGGTAGGTTTAATATAAAGACAAGGAATGAAAGGATAGACTATAGGATAAGTTCACCTGTTCTTCACGACTATATTTGAAATCTATTACTTGTACGAATAAATATTCAAATAATTCAAAAATAGTTTTGTTTTCCTCTAATGTTAGATCAACATTTCCATGCTAAAGCGTATCTAGAGGTAATGGATGATACCGACGCAACTTAATCAACATATCATTTCTTATGTCACTATAAAGAGGACATTCCATCAAAAAACGGTAGGAGTTTTCACAAGGGGTAACTGCAAGCACACGATGGGGAATCAGTTAAATCGATAAAGATAATTATTTAGTGCACTGCAGATGTGTCTTAATTTAAAATGTAGTTAGTAGAATATCAAGATGACGAGGTCCGTGATTAAAATAAAATGGATGTTTCTTGTGATCTTTATGTTTATGAGTTTTTAAAAGTATTCAGAGCTGGCTGGTTCCTGACAGTCTCCGAGAGGCTATTCCAGAGTCTGGTAGTTACTGGTATAAAAGATAATCTAGTACTTGTACGACTATGATTAGGCATAAGGTAATTGTTATTATTTCGCAATGAGTAGGGGTTTCTTTCTCCAACAGGTAAAATGCACCGTAAGGGAGAAAAGGTGTAGGGAAAGGAACAGATAATGTAGATGAGAATTGTAACATGCAATATGATATATGTTTGGCAACATAGAGGGAACAGGTAACTAATACATACATATAATATGGTTTGTTTTGTCTGCAACAGGGATACCATACAATAATAATAATACACACACACACACACACGCACATACACATACACCCACACATACATCACTAGTAATAATATATTATGTTATATACATGTTCACATATATTTATGTTTATATAAATTATATATTCACTGTCACACACAGACACACACCCTATTGTAGCCAAATCGACCCCACCATCGAAATGGTTAGGTCTGTCAACCATGACCGCCATGTATTTAATTCACTCACACACATATACACATTGGCATTGGTGCCCCCCACCCCCACCCCCCACCCCACCCACGTCTACCTGTACACGACCCCTACCCTACCCATGTGCATCACATTATCCTTACAACTTCACACCAATCATGGTAAAGCCGAAACCCCGTGTTGATCATATACGACACTGACACAGGGCTCAGCTTTCACTATGACTGTGACTCGTAGTAAAGGGGTACATAGAGTTTATAAAATATGTATGCTAATTTGGGAATTAACACTATTTGCAGAGCACACCTTACAAATACAAGATGTATGTTCAGTCATCATGGCTGCTGATGCGCATATTATATGTGCATGCATATATAAATTAGGAGTGTATAGTAATAATTTAATTATGAGGAACAAGATAACCAAGGGACATTATTATATACCGATAGTATTGGTATGTAACTTATTAATATGATATGTGTGTACCATACAGCCATGCATTCATTAGGCTAACACTAGTGCCTGAGCCTAGTGAGACACTCTTATGGTTTTATAGTTAAATGGAATAGTGATTATTTTTATTTTTTATTTTTTTTGTCTTTGGTTACACAACCTGTACATATATAGTCTATAGTTATTTCAACACTAATATAATATAGTGTGTACATAAACCTGTAGGCTGCATGATGTAAACACGATTTTTACCGGATATATTATAAACATAAAATAAATGTATACAAATATGTTTACACAACACGTTTGATAAGTCTGTTTTCAGAATTATTTCACTGAATCCGATATTTTTTTTCGTACATTTGTATACAATGACTCGTTTCAAGTTGAATGATTATTTCACGGTTGCAAAACATGTCTCATTGTAATTATTTAATAGTTTAACTTATACTAAATATCACAAAATATATGTACATTCATGTGTACATTTTGCCTGAATACACTTAATGCAGTAGTTCTCTTTCTCTTGGCTTTGGGGATCCGAGCTTTTCCTTGTCGTATGTCAACAACAGTATTCAGTCGCAAATAGTCATAAAGTCCTCGCCGAGAACTGGAGGGTAAATTTATATGTATGGTGAATTATTCAACACTTCTAGCTAAGTTAGGCTATGCCAATTATGGCGACTTATAGTATCCATATTTCTCCCTGCATTATGCAGAAATTACATCAATTGTTACTGCAAATAATAAACTAAGCATCATTATAAGAGCGCAGCTCTTTTCCGGTAACATGTGTACGAACAATTGAAGTCATGGTAACGTCGAAATACTATGCTTCCAAAATCCTTCGTCACGGAAGTAGCTGGTAAAGAGTTACCGCGGTCCTATTTTTACGATGCTGTTTAGCTTTGCTACACATTCTAAAAATTATCTCTTTAATTGATCATTTTTTTCTGTGGTTATGTAAATTCATGACATTAAAAATTATAGAAACTGAAGCTTCTTTCAAATTTTCAGTCTTTTCTTCTCTCCACCCAAACCGGAAGTATATAGTAACTACCAAACCAGACGAAAATCCGAATATGTTTGGGCTATTGTGATTCTCTTTTTACACGATTTAGAGGGATCAGGCAAAGTATATCATGTCGGAAAATAAAATTGGAATTTAATCACCAATATACTTAACTTTTATAATAACAGATAATAACAGTTTCATTTGATAAACAATACATCTTCAAATATGAAGTCCCTCTACTGGGCCTCACTTTTTCTGCTACATTACGCTGAGGCCATAGACGGGGCAATTAAATGCAACAGTACCAAATACATTTGTGTTTTCTCTTGAACTGCATAATTCATTCAAATGCTCTTCTTTACTTATTATTAATTTTACATTTATCGCTATAAAACGAATAAATAGATAATATTTTAAACAATGTTATTTAGAAAATAAAATTGAAAAAACCCAGCATTTAGACGCTTCTCTTGTTTCAGGCAATGCCTGTTTTCAATATGAATGATTTTGCCCAGCAACAGATTCAAGTATATTATATAAAAAAAAAATACAGGTCCATTTTGTATGTATCAAAATGGGTAATGTTATGATTCAAAAAGTATACTATACTATCGAAACAAATGTACGAGCTTCGCTCTCTCCAGGCCATGCCTGAGTCATATTAATTTGAAGAAATACTTACAAAGTGTAAGAATACGTAGCATGCCTACATGTAGGGCGCTGCCATATTTGTTTTTCCCAGTCTGACCACGAGGAGCCCCAAGTAGTCGATAAATCTATATCCAACAAAAGATGGTGAAACTAATCGATTAGACATTAAATCTCTGTGAGAAGACAGAAAAAACAGTGTGTGACCGGTTGATATCATCTGTTGACATGCGGACATCCATTTTCCGACATATTTCTACACTTTTTCATTTGTTAATTGTTTTCATTTTCCCTCATGGGTACACCATGGAATCTCAGATTAGTACGTCGTCCGTATTGTTGCAGGTCTTCCAAGGATGATTCGAGACGATTTACTGTATGCTCTAAACGTTCGACTTTTCCTTTCAAATGATCATTGATTTGGTGACCGTGTAAAGTTTTGCTGATAGAGTTTTAATTTGGGCTGTGAAAGAAGCCATAGCTACAGCTGCTGATTGATAGCGGGTCCTAGTGCAGTTATTAAACTTGGTACAGTTGCTGATTGATAGCGGGTCCTAGTGCAGTTCCTAAACTTGGTACAGTTGCTGATTGATAGAGGGTCCTAGTGCAGTTATTAAACTTGCTACAGTTGCTGATTGATAGCGGGTCCTAGTGCAGTTACTAAACTTGGTACAGTTGCTGACTGATAGCGTGTCCTAGTGCAGTTACTAAACTTGGTACAATTGCTGATTGATAGCGTGTCCTAGTGCAGTTTCTAAACTTGATACAGTTGCTGATTGATAGCGTGTCCTAGTGCAGTTACTAAACTTGATGCAGTTGCTGATTGATAGCTGGTCCTAGTGCAGTTACTAAACTTGGTACAGTTGCTGACTGATAGCGGGTCCTAGTGCAGTTACTAAACTTTGTACAAGCTCACTAATAAATTCAGAAGAGGTGACAGAGTCATGTACGAGTTGAGTCAGGTTGATAGGCTCACCTTGGTAAGTAATCATAGTGTCCATTTTAGGTAAATCAGGTAATGATGATCTCCTACGTGTAGATACAGGTAAACTGGTAATCAAGGAATCTGGACTGATAATTTCTTGTATTTTACGTTAGGATACAGCAGAAGGAGCTGAAAATGAGCTGGTCATGAGCTACCGTACGATTATGCATATAGACAATGGGACGCATTTATACGTGTACAGGTGTATACAGGTAAACAGTACTCACGTGTCGCCGGTGGACGTTCTCTGATTAGTCACAATTCCATTATTACACACAAATATTGTCCAATGTCACACATCAGTCCAGCATTCACATGTCCATGTGCACTATTTGGTAGCTTTCCCTTCAAAGACTCTGCATAATTATTAGAAAAAAACACATATTGGCGAAGAGCTCGTTTATGTACGTGCAACCACCGCCGCTGTCACGTGACTCTTCCGTTCATTTAAATAGGAATAGAGATTATGTCTTCTGAATATTTTAAGTTAAATTTAAATCACAGATTTTCTTGGTAACTGTAATGTAAACATCAAGGTATATATGCTGCCAAACTTATTAAAATACAAAAATGCAAAGAAAATTATAAAGGTAAAAGTTATAAGAGTCGAAACGGATAATAGATTAGTTGTTATCCGTCACCTGATCACTTTTCCCTTTTTAACATTTCGGATATGATTACTTATGAATTCTAACCATCAGTTCTTGTGATACAACAGTATGAAAATATGACTTTTCGAGATATCTTTAGAAAAAGTGTAATTGACGTTCGTTATAAATATAAGTATATGTGTTTTTCTGAATTGGGACAACCATGAAATATCAAATTATATTTATCTTTAAAAAATACAGATTCATGTTTTTAGCTATTAATTACCCTTTTATATATATACTAGCGGAAAAAAGAAACTGTGCATGCGGACAATTGTTATAGAACATGTATTACCAACTGTATATACATGAAAAATTCACACGCATGACCGAGTATGACACACACTATCCGTGTGTCATTGACAGTTTTTCCCGTGCAGTTTGCTCTCTATAGGCGTTGACCAGTTTGCACGTTTTTCTCGTCCAGCCATCCAATTCGACAATGACAGTTTATTTTTCAACTGTTGGGTCATTCTGTTGTGACCAGTGAACAGTAAAAACAGCATTATAACGTTTTAATTTGTGATTAATGCTATGCCGAGGCTCAATGAAAATGACAGCCTCCGGATTATTGGTATGCTTCAAGCTGGTATGGGCCAAGCCGTTGTCTCTACACGTTTTCATGTCCATCGAAACACAATCCGGGATTTGTGGAGACGACATCAACAGTTTGCCCACGTCGGCGATCGACCTCGTCCGGGACGTCCACGTGTGACGTCACGTCAACAGGACAACCATATTCGGCTTGTCCATTTGAGAAATCGCTTCCAAACGGCAAGTTTGACTGCACGGACAATCCCTGGGTTGCTACCAATAAGCCCGAGAACTGTACGGAACCGATTGCGTGAACGAGCTATCCGTCCGCGACGTCCTGCAATCCGCCCAGTTCTTCTGCCACGTCATCGTGTAGCACGTCTGGACTGGTGCAGAAGGCATCTGCGATTTACTCGACGGGATTGGGCAGGCATTTTGTTTACGGACGAGTCGCGAGTCCACCTGGATAGTAGTGACGGCCGTTCCAGAGTGTATCGTCGCGTTGGAGAACGTTTCCGTGACGCGTGTGTGGTACAACGACGTTCTTTCGGCGGAGGCAGCGTTATGATTTGGGGCGGCATCACAGCCAACGGGAGAACGCCTCTGGTGGTTGTTAACGGGAATTTGAACGCGCTACGTTACCGTGACGAGATCCTCCGGACCCACGTCGTTCCATTCGTGCAAGGGCAGCAACGTCACATTACGCTACAGCAGGACAACGCCAGGCCACACACAGCTCGTGTCGCTATGGACTTTCTGGCCCAGCAGAACGTTGACGTGTTGTCCTGGCCGGCTGTATCCCCCGATCTGTCGCCCATTGAACACGTCTGGAATGAAATGAAGGACAGATTACGGGCATTACCTAATCAACCGGTGACGTTGGCTGATTTTGCTGCAGCGTTGGTACAGATCTGTAATGCCACCCACAAGCATTCTTGAACCGTCTGATAGGCTCCATGCGTCGATGTTGCCAGGCTTGCATTCAGGCAAACGGTGGACATACGAGGTATTAACTCTGTGAACTCAGTATTGACCCCTGCTGTGTTTACGTCACCTCTGAGCGGAACCTATTGATTCCATAACGGGGAAAATGGAATGCAACTGTTAATAAATAATAAATAAATTGTCCCTGAAAACCTTGTTGTTCTACGTCATACACATTTTCTTTTTATAACACATTTTAGGCATGCACAGTTTCTTTTTTCCTCTAGTATATATATGTACATGGTGTCTATGTCTAACTTTCCTATTGTGGAAATATACTGCTTGTACCTATTGTAGTGACTGCTTAATTTTTTGTAATATGTGTGTCATAGCCATGCTTTTTCTGAAATGAGTCTTTTAAATAGAGGTTGTTCATTTCGGCCTTTTGTTAGCCTTCTGTAATTTATACAAATTTGCGCTATGAACAAATGATCTGATGTTTGTTCAGATCTGCTTGAAGAGTATTCTGAGAACAATGTTCATGAATAAAGAGATAAAATTAGAAGGAAAGTTCATAAAATGCCTCATCAAAAAAGAGACTCAATGGGCTAGTATCGCGCACCTGTTATTCATCTCACATCTGTGACCTACCAAGTGAGAACCGATCGATGCCTTTAACAGGCTAAGTATTACTGCTCGATACATCACAATTCTATGTTGGAGGAGTTTATTAGCTAGTACTCTATACCCTTTGAATATCTGTCAAAACGTTTAACCTTGTTTTATTAATCTGACCCATACAATTCGTTTAATTACTGCATTCAGGATCCACGCTTCATATATATAGGTACATTAAGCTACAGGCAAACTATCATAACCCTACGTCGTTAGAACTCATCATTTAAATGTTTTCTAGGATTTCGTCATCGTGCATTTGAAAGTGCTCCAATTTATTGAAACACAAATATACATCCCAGCTTGTGATTGGCAAACGATCACCATCCTCGAACTCTTGATTGATCAGTTGATGTTTTATGACACTTAATCTCTGTGACGTTGAATAAAAGTCAAAATAATTTTGTTGAACAAACTTGAAAGCCATTTATCCTAGCATATTTTTTGCAAAGTATATTGTTATCGGTTATCTCCCCTTGTAATAAATACATACAGTTTGCATATCAGTACTCCTTTGTTCTCAATAGGTTGTTGTTTTTCTTTGATTGAACACTACAGGGTGTACAACTGAATGTAACCCTTTACAACTTGTACACTGATTGTTATTTTGGACTCGATAGGAGAGCCCCTCTCACTTATACTTATAATTGTCCATTGTACTCGGTAAGAAAGAGCTAACAAGGACGCATAGTCTGTATTATTCTTTACGGATTAATTTTTAACGTTTTGTATAAAATTGGATTTATTGTTTTTAAAATATTTCATTAAACACTTAAAGAATATTATCATTTTTTCGAAAAGGTTTATACTATATTTAGAAATACACTAAAGTAGTTCTTTTCATAATTGTGTTTATTTCAAAAGTTAAAATAAAAATCAAAAAAATTGATGATAGGTTTTATTTATCCTTTTTTTAAATTGCTTTTCATTTCTAAAATTGGTAATTATATCTTTCGAAAATACAGGTGTATGGTTACATCGTACAAAATATGGACATACTGCCAACTGTGGACGTATACAAATATGTTGCTATTTTCATTTTTTGATAACATGTAGCTCATGGTTAAAAACAATTGAGTTTTAATTAGGGTTTGAAAGTAAACTTTAGCTCCGTTTAGGCAATACATTACGTTGCTCTTATTAATGACAACACAACATTTTACATTTATGTTTAGTCAGTTTGCAACATGATTTAGTCTTGAAATCGAAAGGTTGTTTTTGGACTTCCCTTTTTATCGATATTTACCTTTTACTTATTCCAGTCTTGCGTTCGAAATACCTAAGACGTCTTTCGTGTAACTGTTTACGCAGAGAATAGTATCGAAGTGATTCGATTGACATTCCAATCAGAGATATAGAGCATATCTAACAGTGTCTTCGGTAATACCAAATAACTTTAACTCGTGGCTATGCCCCTGTGCAGGTCGGAGATCGACAAAATCATAATCTGCGTCTATCCGCAGCATGTATCGTAAGAGACGACTAAAGTGATAACCTCTACAGAATTGAAAAATTATCTTTGTGCTTTCATTTTTTTACGGTAACCTTCGCCCAGGAATGCAATAGGTTCTGTTCCTTGGCCGGGGCACACAAAAGTCCTAAAAAATGGTAGTTGATACTCCCTGCTTAACGTTTAGCATTAAGGGTAATGGCAATAACTTGTTCACCCGTTGTTAGTATAATGTGACCAGGCGGGATGCTGTGCTTGGTGCCGTCGGCATGGTATTTCAGTGAGATAGCACTCTAAAGTCGGCTCCAGATCGATGCTATCACAAGGACGTAAAAACATCAACATTCGATGACTCCGGCACACTTTTACACATGAACGCGTGTACCACACAACTGAAGGCACGTCCTTAAATCATCTTAGTTGTTAAAAGGAGGTGAAACAATTTAAATGTAAACTAAACGTGTGGCTAATGTTTTGTGCACCTTAACAATATCATTATTGTTTAAGTGAAATCTGATACTGTAACCATCTTGACAACTATTTAATGCTAGCCAAATGTATGTTACATGTATACAGATGGGATTATCACATACAATTATGCTTGAGGCATATTTCATGCATTTTGCAGCAATAATTGCTTCAACAAATATGTTAAGGAACTCATGATAAAATTTTCAAATTGATTGGTCGGTATACGCCTATTTTATTATAATTATCAATTCAAGAAGCGAAACCAGACGTAGGCTCCGCCAGACGGAATTACTAGAGCTGGGGTAGCGTATCTGGTCTACCAAAGTCGTCGACCCGTACCAGGCTCCGTCGTGTTGTAGATCAGTTGTACTAGGAACGACGCTTTACCCTGGTTGGTCATGGCGCCATGAACCTGGAAACCATGTATGTTTCTTGACAACCAGTGACCCGAGTTCCAGACCTCCACTGTTTTCTCATCTTGGCGAAGTAAATCAAACAATTGTTCATTGGCTGTTACTCCCTCCATGATCTGTAACAAAACGCATGATTTGTCAATTAAGTAAGAGTTTATATTCATGATTATGTGAGCACTTTGATGACAAGTAATACTCAACATATGCTACTTACAACATCACAATCAAATAGAGTCTGCCACACCTTGTTACAGAACAGAAAGAATGTGATTATTTTCGAAAGGTCAACTGTATATTCTACTCATGAAGTTCATGTCCCGATTGCTGAGCATTTTATTTACTTTTAATAGAGGTCAGTAGAAATTCAAACTGTTGACCTTAATTAACGAGACCGTTGAAAGCAACATGTACCCTCGGATCATACTAATCTAAGCATCCTATCAAATCTATAGCAACGAAATGATATCGAATTTCCTTGGGTTTGTTTAATTAACATTTTGAATATCAATAAACTACTGACAGACGCAATTTTGACTTCCGGGGTCTAAATAAAGATAGTAACATATACGTTTAATGCTCACGTGGACATTGAACATGTTGGAGGAAGGCCCGTATATCATAGGGACATCCCACATGACCGCCACCTGGTAGCCAGAATTTTCGATCGCGTATGTAAAAACGCCTGCCGTCCCGAAAGTAGCGTCTGTTAGATAAGGAAATGCTATTATTAATAAACACATACATGTATGTATATATAATACAACTGATTTAGTATTGCAGGAGACGGCGAAACGATAATGAAGTTTTTTTTAATGTTTTGCCATGAACGAACGCTTAAGGATGTTCTTTTGTTCCGTCGCTTCTCAAGATTTAAAAGCAACTGAAGGAAGAGACGAATAATTATTTTACGTTTGTCTTCATTTCGTCGCTCCCACTTGACTGAATCGTATTCCTTCACGTTCCTGTATCTCGAGAAGACGGAACAAATCATCGCCAAGCTAACCATCGTCATGTTGCCTCCAACAACGTGAAGATAAGCCACGCCTACTACATTAGTATCATGTCTTTTTGTTGAAGGCACAACGCGCTGTCGTTACTTGGTTCCGTCGCCTTACACAACACGAAAGTGATAAAACGAAAGTAGGAAGTACTTGGCTACAAAATGTTATCTAAAGCATGCGCAGAACAGTACCCACAGTCTAATGAAATTATGAGTAGAGGGGTAGACGACTCCCCTAGCAAAAAATGAATGCGATCGCCTGATAACAACAGAACGAATAAGGACAGACAAGAATAACAATTTTTGTATAAGCATAAAAGAAATCAAGAGTAAAAACACTCGCAATGCGTTTTCTCAAAAGTAAACACTCCGCCGTCTCCTGGGAGGATTTCCCTTGGCAGTGGTTCCCGGAGAACGCCATGCGACAGATACCACTCCGGGTTGACTAATTTCCGGTTTCCCATATTAGAAAACCCTACCACACAGACACGTGACAAGTCCACTTGTGAAGCGACACCGGACAGCAGTTTGAATCCCACTGCGGCCGCCGACAATACACCAACGACTATGGAAACAAAGAGGTATATGATAGCAAATGTTTTCCTTACTTCTAACCTTCAGCCATATAAACTGTCAAATTCAGTACGTTAGCTTAGCGAAAATAACTTTTTTTTTTCAACTGAATTTCATCCAAAAGACCGTTCATGCTACAATATAATGTCGTCGAAACGGATCGCTACAAAATGGGTAAGGCAAAACCAGTTGTTAATTTTGCATTTAATTTAACAATGATAAGAGACTGAAACCATTTTTTTTTCATAATTCCCAGAATTATATTTCAATGAATGATAAATACAACATTTAAAAAGGAAAAATAAATAAAAAAAAGTTTTCTCTATATACTTTTTACTTCCAAAACATAAACATAGATGTGACACTGTTGTGGCAGCATTGCTATCCGTTGATGACATGCTGTGAATATATTTTAGTGCTCTTGTAGAATACGATAGTCCATTTTAGTGCCCACATGTCTACCAGAGGCAACACCATGTGACAACGGTAGTGCCCTTTCTCAAAGGCATTAATAGTATGGTACGTCATGTAATTTCAAATATCGGCATGAACATAAAATGTCTAAGTCAAATCACTCCATTCATATAAGGGGAAGTTACTCTCAAGAAAGGGACTTTATACACATATAGTTTATAAAAATCCATGCAACTATCCTATCAACGTCCTGGAATTTTTGACGTGATATCTAATTTACATTAAATGATTACATGAAACAAAATGATTACCTCGCTTGCTGGGAACTCCACTCTTGGTTAGATTTCGGAAAGCCTTATTATGGGTGTAAAGGTGCTCCACGTCTACTGTTTTCGTTTCGGCCTCTCTTGCCTCTCGTTCAAAGTCCAACGACAAAACACATGTCAGATGGACTCCTCTACATCAACACAGAAATAAAATATTAAAATAATTCTATGACAAGTGTCAACTCTCCAACAATTTTTGATTTGTTGTTGTTGTTAATTTGCAGTATCTATAGAACGTCATGCGGATTGATTCCTAACAGTGAACGTCTTGTTACATTTTTATAATAAGGTAGTATAGTGTCGTGACCTGAACATGTGTTATATACAAGGATAGTGTTTCACTCAAACTGTGGTTTCAGTTGAATGCACATGACATATATTCAAAGTATGACCAAAACATTGAAAGCTACTCACAGTTTGTTAAAAAAAACCAACAGGATTCAATATAAATTTTAATGTCAAAATCAGTGTTTGATTGAACTAGCATAGGTTTTCCCAATGATCCTCGATCCCTGAAAAGATAGCATCCAACCAAATGATCCCGAGTTATAATAATCCTCTAAACCTTATATTAATAAGAGTAAACGCAAAATTATCCCGAGTTACCATGTACAATTAATGCTTCATAATATATTTTGTTGAGCGTAATGGTGTTGAGTGCTATTATTGCGTTGTGGATACAATCAAGTGATGTACACTTCAGAACTGGATGTAGTGCCCCAAGATTGCAGCTTCACGACATCTGTATTTTCCCCAGCAAAATGCTTAAGTCATACTTCGCAAAGTCAAAGCTTTAAATGGAATGTACCACAGTATGCGTGTATTCATTTCCTGATT